AGTTGGCAGTAGATGCCATCTTAAGGATTTTAAGGTAACTGTCATTTTTTGGAAAAACAAATTATTAAAAACTCTGGTTTTATATCAAAACTGGAAGGATTTTAGAAGTTGTAATTCTGTATGAGTAAGTGTAAGTATATATATATATATTTTTTTTTTTTTTCTTTTTTTTAATTTAGTGAACAAGACTAGTACTGGCTAGGTGTTGTCATGATTGTGACCCAGTGTCGGCTCAATTTCAGTACCCTGTGCCGGCTAAGTGTAACATTTTGATTGCCGTGATTGTGGACCAATGCCAGTGGTGTCGGCTCAGTTTCAGTACCCAGACTCGGGCTAGTACTGGTTAAGTGTTTCATTTCTCGTCGGTGTGATTGTGGCCCAATGCCGATGGTGTTGGCTCAGTTTTAGTACCCAGACTCAGGCCAGTACCAGCTAAGTGTTTCAATTCTTGTCGGCGTGATTGTGGCCCAATGCCGGCAGTTTTGGCAGCCGGACTCGGGCCAGTGTATTTGGGCCGATTCTGGGTCATCATTCATTCCATGTCCATGCCAAGTCTGGCAACCGCAGCCAGACCGAGTTATTACTTCCGGCCTGCCGGATCTGGGCCATTATCGGGCCAATCCGTTTTGGCTACCTGGGTATCTACTGCAACACCATGTAGACACCAGGCACATCCGTGGACACATCTAAGTGAACGTTTCAAATCCATTTTTCCCAAGTAGAGCAAGCATGTGGAGTAAGTCAGAAATAGAACGGGGTATCAATTCAGAGCCAGACCGAGTTATTACTTCCGGCCTGCCGGATCTGGGCCATTATCGGGCCAATCCGTTTTGGCTACCTGGGTATCTACTGCAACACCATGTAGACACCAGGCACATCCGTGGACACATCTAAGTGAACGTTTCAAATCCATTTTTCCCAAGTAGAGCAAGCATGTGGAGTAAGTCAGAAATAGAACGGGGTATCAATTCAGCATCCTGTGAAGACCGTATCAGTTCACTGATTATAATGGCCTATATTTATTTTTGACGCTGGTGTAGACAGGGCCTTAAACCTTCCTCTATCATTTCCATAGCAAAGTTACCACTCTTTAAATAAGGTTTTTTCACGTATTGAGGCTTTCTAGTGCAGTTGTTGAATTTTCCACAAAAGCAACTTAGCGTCTAGCATTTAGAAACGATATCAAAACTGATATCGCTAAACAAACTAGACATTAAGATAAATCCTTCTGCTTTTTTTCCACAATCTTGTTTGATTTTGGAATAATGAATAAGACTGCTTCTTGTTGGCTGATTGGCTGCTGTTTGTGATAAACTAATGTTAATGCCAATTTTTTTAACCAGTGCATTTGTACTTTAAAACTTTAATAAATGTAAATGTAATTTCTATTCACATGACCCAAACAAGGTTAAGAACCACATCTTTAAGAATTATAACCTTTCACTCCTGAAATATGTCTAAAGGTATGGGCTATATTTTGAGACCTTAGGAGTTGAGGATAGACCACATGGGGAAATCCTAATGTAAAAAGAAGCCCTATTGTTAGACTTATATACACAGTGTTTGTACTTTACATGTTGTAACAAAGTTAAGGGATTGTGGTGTAATAGTGACACATGACAGTTGTGCTACTCTGACTTCAGTTCTGAGATCTGAATCTATCTCAGAATAAACTAGGAGATTCAGGAGCAAAACTGCTCTCTGATATAAAGGTTGAGCCACATTTTACTACCGTTGTGAGTGTATTTCTATTTAAAGATCATAGTATGTACAACTAAATATACTTGTTGGATATTGGCCTTTAGCAAGTCTGGATGGATGGATGGAAATCTCTGGTTGTAATATTGATATACAAATATCTCTGCCTCCGTTTTTAGAATTCAGTCCAGCTTCAGAACTGTCAGGTGAATAATGGCAAGTTCACCCTACAGGATTTTAAGCCCGATTTGCAAGTCAACGAGCTCGCCGACCAGTCAGACTGTGATCGGGGGCAAATCAGCGGGTGATCAGCGCTCGGCAATCTTTATGTGTGAACTACTCAATGATGCATCAAAGAGGTTCGCTGATGCCAGACAAATATCTAACAAGAAAGATATCTGGACCTGTCAGCCGACTCGACATCCTGTGGCATCAGGTGTAGCGACGAGCTACAGCCAATGAGAGCAAGGCATGGGTTGAGGTCAACGGAAGAAAACAGCACCAGCAACATGGCTTTAAGAAAAGTGTGGACACAAGAAATGAAGCAAAATTTTCCAGAACAGATCATCGCGCCAACAGCTTGCAGTGCTAATTTCTTCCCAAAGTCCATTTTCAAATAAACAACTCCTGTTTCATGCATTGTTTCGCGTCATTTCCCATTCCACTTCTCAAGTGTGTTTTCGTGACAAAACATGTTTGGGGACCAGATAAGAGTCGTTGGGTGACAGAGTTGTTGTCAGCTCGTGTAGTGTGTGACTCCTTGTTGCGGATCATTACGTAGAGTCACGTATGAACATCACAAGTTGTGTAGTCTGAACTAGGCTTCAGAAAAAATTACAACAGTCATTCTCAAATTGCTCTGCAAGTCTTCTTCTATCGCACCTGATTCAGATCATTAGATTGTTACGAGAGAGCTCCATGAACTGTCTTGCCAATTGCACCTGTTACAAGAGAGCTCCGTAAAAGTGTGTCAGATAAGAAAAACATACAAAATGTGCAGATCGGTGGGTTACCAGGATTGACCACTACATTACCGTGATGCCACAGTTACAGAATCAACTCACTGTGTTACAATTTTAGACTCACTTCATGAGAATGAGTGCTAAAAAGGACCGTTGACACAGCATATAGTCTTAGTGCTACAGATTTGTGCTAATATAACGGGTTCTGACCTATGGCCCTTGAGGTCCACTTTCCTTCAGAGTTTAACCAAAGCCACTGGAAGGCAAGCCTGCAACCTTTAGCCAAAAAAACGTAATGGCTAATACTAACGCTGCTGTTTTGGCAGTACGCAGGCAAGGAGACCAGAGGCCACTGTATGATTGGCTGAGGTACCTCACATGATCCAAGTTAGCCGTCACAATTTTTCCAATGGTAAGTACTGCAGACACTGGCATCACATTTAACTCCAACTCTAATCTAACACACCTGAATCAAGGTCTTCGGGATTACTAGAAATTTACAGGCAGGTGAGTTTAATCAAGGTGTTAAGAACCACTGTGAAAAACAACCCCACACCATAATCCCCCCTCCATCAAACTTTACACTTGGCACAATGCAGTCAGGCAAGTATCGTTCTCCTAGCAACCACCAAACCCTGACTCGTTTATCGGATTGCCAGACAGAGAAGCGTGATTCGTCACTCCAGAGAACACATCTCCACTGCTCTAGAGTCCAGTGGCAGAGTGCTTTACACCATTTTATCCGACACTTTGCATTGCACTTGATATAAGGCTTGGATGCAGCTGCTCGGCCATGGAAACCCATTCCATGAAGATCTATGCACTGTTCTTGATCTAATCTGAAGGCCACACGAAGTTTAGAGGTCCGTAGCTATTGACTCTGCAGAACGTTGGTGACTTCTGCGCACTGTGCGCCTCAGCATGCGCCGACCCCGCTCTGTAATTTTACGTGGCCTGTTGCTGTTGTTCCCAATTGCTTCCACTTTGCTATAATGTCACTAACAGTTGACCGTGGAATATTTAGCAGTGAGGAAATTTCACAAATGGACTTATTGCACAGGTGGCAACCCATCACGGTACCACGCTTGAATTCACTGAGCTCCTGAGAGCGACCCATTCTTTCACAGATGTTTGTAGAAGCAGTCTGGATGCCTAGGTGCTTGTTTTTTTATTTTTTTTGGAACGCCTGAATTCAATGATTTGGAGGGGTGTCTCAATACTTTTGGCAATATAGTGCATGTATTCATGTCAGTTCTTAGAGATTGCCACACATTTGAACGGTTGGCCAATATTCTGGCATGCAATGTCTGATAGCACAAAAAGACAATAACTGGTGGACATTAAATTATTTATTTCCCTTTCTTGATAATACGCATTGATCTATTGTTTATATGCGAATAAATGCACAAAATTAAACCTGTTCAACATATAACGCGATCAAACTGTTCGGATTACATGGATTACTTTTACAATGTCTTTGAAGCTTGAAAGTTGTGGTTGAATGAACATTCAATGGAGGGAGAGAAATCTCTCAGGTTTCACTAAGGCCCCGTCCACACGGAGACGCGTTTAGTTGTATATGCATACATTTTGTATCGTATAGGCATTTCGTCCACACGGATCCGGCGTTTTGGGAGAGTGAAACCAATATTTTTTGAAACCGGGTCCCAGAGTGGATAAATCTGAAAACGCCACCCTTGTGTTTTCGTGTGGACAGCGAATCCGTATTTTTTCTGAAACGATGACGTCATCAGCCCACGTCTCGCCCCTAGTCAGACAACGCTACGTCACGTAACAGCACCAAAAACATGAACAAACACTGAACGACTGTCTTTTTATTAACTAACATTAACACAGATTAATAAATGTATTGTTCCATGTTCGTTTGTATACCGCGCACAAGGTTTATGCGCATAGTCCAGGTCTTCTCCGTTTTTAGTGTATCTCTGTGGCAGAATTACAGCGCCACATGCTGGTCTGGCATGTATACTACAGCATTCTGTGTCAGTTTCGTGGTTTCGTGTGGACGCAGATATTTCTTGAGACGATGGGCAAAAAAGATTGGATAGGGAAAGCTCTGGCTTTGTGTGGACGTAGCCTAAAAGTACCTTAATTTGTGTTTCGAAGACATGAGGGTGAGTAAATTACAGTTTTCAATTTTGGGTGAACTACCAACTTGAACTGGCATTCACATCCCATTTTATTTCTTTAATGGGAAGCATTTCAGAGTGGTATTATTGATAATGCTGATGGATTCTGCAATTGGGAACATGCTTTAAGAAAGTAAATCAGGTTTGATTTCATGTTAACTTGCTAGGATTAAACGTACAGGGCCCATATATATATTATGTCTACGATACAACGTGCTCATACCTCTTTTACTACGCTGTATGCCTTGGCCACCCCCTCTCTCAGGTCCACTGGCTGATGGGCCAGACAGTAATGTGAGTACCGTTTAATCTTTTTGCATTCTTTCTCATCTGGCACTGGAGATACCATGTCGTAAGCCGTTTCAGCAGCAGCCTACACAAAGCATATAGAAAAGATCAGAAATAATTTGTTCATATACGGATAAGTAGAGCAAATTAATTTTAATGTGATTGGTATGATGTCTCTGTTTGCCATTGTCATTACAAAATACCTCTTTAGGAGACACTTGCAAATATTTTAATCGACACAGAGAAATCACTTTACCTGTATGGTTCGCACCATCCGATTGGTGAGCTCCAGAGCTGCCATTGCTGTGGAGGTTCCGAAGGAGGCGGTGCCTCGCTGAAAGCCACGAACTATTCTTCCATCCTTACGGTACTGCTCAATGGGCAGCCAAACCAGATCCCTAAAACCCTGAACTGTAGCAGCAACAGGAGAAAAACACTGCTTAACACTGAACATGTAAATAAAGTCGTCACCTCTCAGAGACATCAATATCAATATTTGGTCAATAGCACTTTACAAAATAATTACTTTTTATTCAGTTGTGGGTGAAACAACATGTGTAAGAATGTGTTGTGCTAACCTAGCTGCACCAGAGAATGAATGGGCCCCACGCCTCCCAAAAGCCCTGGCAACTGGTTCTTCTTTATGTCATTCAGCCATTCATTAATGGCATATGAAAAGAGCTTGTCAACACCCAGTAATCTGGAAAAAAAATAAACAATCTGGAATAAACTGGCTCAAATTTGTGAGGTGAACATAAAAAACATTTTTTTTAATGTTATATATTCCTACCCTTGTCTGTAGCACAGGCGCCGTAATTTAAGCTCCGAGCAATTCAGTTGTGTGAGTCCAATAACAATACCAGCAAATGTGCCCTGAGGAATTTTATTGAGCATTTAGCTTGTTTTGTAGCAAAATATGTTACTTCACCTTTTTATTTAGATTAAAACACAATTTATTACAACAAACAGTACAGTTCAGTTTTCAGACCAAGAGAAAAAACAGTGGTTTACTGACTCAGTCCTTGATTCATACTGCATGTTCATTTTGCATATTGTCAATAAAGACGACACAATAAACAGTTTTTGCTGACTAATCACTGCTGATATATTGCTTCACTGTGCTTGTTACATAATTCACAAATTCAACATACGTAAAAACACTTGGGCCAAAAGTATTTTATATCAGATTAATTTAATAAGGAATTAATTCTAAATTAAATATGACGTTTACCAAAAACATAAGAGAATTTTTGGGACATTTGGATTCTGTGGATAGCTCACCTGCTCCATGGCCATGTGTTTTCCATGGTAGTCTAATCGAATTGGCACCTCTGAAGTGAATCTGAACTCTCTGGAAAATGACGTGTAAAATAAGTTCTGGTTTACAGTTACTAATGAACTTATACCTAAAGAATTTGAAATGTTAAAATGTAGATTGCTGTAGATCAGGGGTGTCCGATCCTGCTTCTGGAGGCCCAACTTCCAGGATAGTTTAGTTGTAGCCCAAATTAAACCCACAAGGTCACCAGGATCACTAAAAACTTCCAGGCAGGTGTTTTGGAGCTAAACTCTAGAGGAAAGAGGCCCTCCAGGAGCACTACTGGACACCTCCATTGTAGATGCTTAAGAATACTCTCACTTCCTCTCACACACCTGAAGAATATGGGCTGGTCGGTGAAAGATGTGGAGGCAGTGTCTGTCTCAGCAGTGCTGTCTTGGCTGCAGGTGTGGACGAGGTGTGGACTTTGTGTTGGCACTGAGATGATGGGCGCAGGGTCTTGACCCGCTGCACCGTTGTACTTAGAAAAATTGCACGAAATCTCAGGGGCAGGAGGCTTCTTCACTGACACATAGAACGCTACAACACAGATAAATAAATAGTTAAGCAGATGAAACAATTGCTTGCAGCAAATAATATCTGTTGCAAGATCTAGTGAGCAGCCTTACCGTCTACTGCCTACATATGAGCATCAAAAAAACAGCGCTCCTCGTCAAAAGTGCATAGGAAACTCAACTTGGCCAACCCGACCACTGATTTCAATAGAGATTTATGTAAGCATATGCTATGCTAACAGCATGATAATATTAAAAAAAACTAAGCACAAAAGTGTTGGGTAAAATATAACATTTTTAATTCAGTTGGTTTATTTATCTAAGCTTTTTAGTATTTAATCAAGTATACTGACAGTCGACTTTTCTTGAAATCATTTAGTTTTCTATAGGTGCATTCTTGCCATGTCAGAATTTCCATAGTTACGCGATTCTGACTTGTAAAAAAGTGTTTGTAAAACTTGTAATAACAAATTGTAAACTTATAATTTTTTGAGAGCTTCAACTTTTACCACCTAACTGCTTCAAGGTCATGCAGAAACACTCTAAATTGCAGCAGTTTCAAGAGTAAAATATAGTTATCTTGTAATATTTTTGTTTAATAATTCCTATAATTGAGTATTATTAATCTTTTAAAAATGCAAGAATAAACTGAAAAACAAAATACAATAGAGTTTAATGTAGGTAACACAGCTGAATAAATATCTAGCATCCCGCTAAACAACAAGTTTATTAATAAGGGATTTGCATAACTATATTTGTTACTTATTGTATTGTAGTTTTGTGTATTGATTACTGCCACTGAAACTTATAAATTCAAGTCCACAGACATGAACACGACTATTAGTAGTAGTAATTCTGGTAATTACGACATGAGGAGAATGCAGCATATTTCCTTTTGGAACAGTCTTTGTGTCAAGAGTGCTTCTCCTCAATGTTGTCTAGGTAGGCAGCTCACTCACAGAGTATGAAACAATGTTTTTTTTAAGGTTCTCAGAGTGTTTTGCATATTGATTATTACCTTCCTGCTCTGGTGGGGAAAAGAGCTCAACCTCTGCTGCCAGACTGGTGAAGAAGTCCTTCAGGAAGAACAATGCATCCTGTACACAAGATGAAAATGAGGGGCTCCTGACATTTAGTCATCAGTTTGAACTATGCTTTTAAAAATAGGTGAGCTGTTGAACGGTTTTGTTCTTTACCTGATCAATGTTTAGCCGGAGGGGCATTAGTGACACACGTAGACAGCACTCCTGAGGCGCCTGTCCAGTTTCTGGACACATGTGCAGGGCTCTGACAGTCAACTGATACACACAGACAACAAATGCCCATTTCAGACAGCATCATTTGATACTTTAGAAACCATACACACCACCTGTAGATTATGTACATCATTATCTGTCTGTGTGTATTTGATCATACCATGTCGGAGTGAGGAGCTGTTGAACGGTTTTGTTCTTTACCTGATCAATGTTTAGCCGGAGGGGCATTAGTGACACACGTAGACAGCACTCCTGAGGCGCCTGTCCAGTTTCTGGACACATGTGCAGGGCTCTGACAGTCAACTGATACACACAGACAACAAATGCCCATTTCAGACAGCATCATTTGATACTTTAGAAACCATACACACCACCTGTAGATTATGTACATCATTATCTGTGTATTTGATCATACCATGTTGGAGTGAGCTTTCCTGGGCATCTCTTTACTGGAGTATAGATAGAGGAACTTGTTCATCATGGAAGAGGCCAGCCTGTCTCGTATCTCCAGATCCTGCACTGAGAACACCTGTCTGGACACCGGCTGCTCCTTCAAAACGCCTGCCTCTGGAGCCTTCTGAGGATACACCTCATGCTGGAACCGCACCTAATATAAGACATGAAGGATCGTAGAGTATTTGAGTTGACTGAATTACTGAAAACAAAAGAGTCAGTGTTGTTATCACTCAAATCAAAAAGCATACAAACAAAAAAACAAACAAACCCCTAAAACCTTTCTGTGCCAATAAGGACGTTTTTAAGGCCTTATTTTGGGGAAAGGTTAATTAAAACCTGCAGAAACCCTGCTAAAAGTGAAATAAAAATGCATTTAAATGAGGAAACTAATAACTAAACTCAAAGAAAAAAATTACTAAACTAAAACTGAACATATAAAAAATCTAATTAGAAATATCAGTGAAAACTTTAACAGTAGTGTATAAGTTATACTAAAATAACACTGCACCAAGTTAATATATTGTGTATGCAGGCTGATGATTAAAATGGTAGAGTATTTGAGTTGACTGAATTACTGAAAACAAAAGAGTCAGTGTTGTTATCACTCAAATCAAAAAGCATACAAACAAAAAAACAAACAAACCCCTAAAACCATTAAAACCTTTCTGTGCCAATAAGGACGTTTTTAAGGCCTTATTTTGGGGAAAGGTTAATTAAAACCTGCAGAAACCCTGTTAAAAGTGAAATAAAAATGCATTTAAATGAGGAAACTAATAACTAAACTCAAAGAAAAAAAATTACTAAACTAAAACTGAACATATAAAAAATCTAATTAGAAATATCAGTGAAAACTTTAACAGTAGTGTATAAGTTATACTAAAATAACACTGCACCAAGTTAATATATTGAGTATGCAGGCTGATGATTAAAATTATAAAAGGTTTCTCTGACCTTACTGAGTTGAATCTCCATCAGGACATCAGGGTTTCTGCCCCATCCTCCTCCAGCACGGGAGCCTCTTCTCATCTGTTTTACAGGAGTCTGTGATGGAGAGCTGTGAGGAGTGCACCTACACACACACACACACAAACATGCTCTCTTAATACACACTTATAACATGCAGTTTTTATAAGAAGCATGATTTTGAATCAGGAGTGGCCCAACTCCAAATATGCACCCTCGACTGCGAGCTGGGGATGAGGACAATGCGCCTCCACAGAAGTCTTTTCCTCCATAGAGGTGCCACACTACAGAGATCTCTTTGATCAGGTATCTGATTTCCGGCACAGGGAAGTGAAGCGGACCCCTATTAGAGCTGCTGCCCTCCAGAGGGACACTGAAATGTTCTTCCCTCACAAGGATGGTTTCAGAGATCAGCTTCTTTACCACAGGCTCCTCATCCTTTTCCTAACAGACAAAACACTTTCATCAAGTGCTGCATACACTAATTAAGATTTTTATTTTGAGGAACAGAAATTCAGTCAGTTCCTCACACAAAGGTATTGTAAAGCTTCAAAAGAATTAGAGCAGCGCATCTGTAATGCTTTTATTTGTGTAAAAGGTTCACTGCCTGAAATATTTATGAAGTGAAGAGCTCACCGGTACTCTGGAGCCCGGCGTGTCCAGGATGCAGAAGTCATCAGTGTCTTGGAGCAAAGAGGGGGCAGGAGGAGAGATGAGTGGGGAGTGCAGGGTTGGGTAAGTGGGGTTTGGTTCCTGCCCCAGGTTTCCGCTCTCATCAGGGAAAAGGAAGAGATCAGATCGGGGCGGCTCATGATCATGTGAATGGTCTTCGTTGACACCTATACAAAAGACGGGCAGATTCAAACGTGAGAAGTGTTATTTTAGTATTATTTTTATACTATTATAGTATGTATTAATATTTTCAATTAGCTTTTGTTTTTATATTTTCATTTTAGTTTTCGTAATTTTGTTATGTGCTTTTGTCATTTTCTAAAATAGTTTATTTAAATAATATTTTTTTTTAATTCTATTTAGCTTTAGTTTATTTTTATTTCAGTTTAATTCAAGTACTTCAACTTATTATGTTTTAACTACTTATCGTTTAAGTTTATGTATTATTTATGTATTATTTTATTTCAGATTTATTTTAATTAACAAAAACAATTTTTAATAGGTTTTGTTTTAGGGTGTGTTTACACTTGTAGTTCAGTTCGTTTGGTTCATTTGGTCCGGACCAAAAAGGTTCGCTTAGCGTTCACATTGGCATTTTTGACAGCGAACCTAAAGGCATAGTGATACGTTCACAACCTGATTGGTCGGCTTGAATGACATATATATCGTGACGGAACTCACCGAACACCCCAAAGCGGTGCTGCGGGTGTATGATATCAAAGCACCCATTAACCGATCGGTCTGCTCAGTGCCGCTTTAAGTCGAACACACCTAATGCCATCTGCTTGACAAAGTGCGCTCAGCCTCATTCTTGCGTGTACATATAATTTTATTTTCCCCACCTGCAAACTCACAAGGAGCTCATAAAAGGCACTTTACCTCATCGTTGCTCCACGTTTGCCCTCTGCTCATTTTGTTTTGGTTACACCGCATCGTCAAATCATGTCACATAGCATCGCATCTTGTTATTACTTCCTGTTTTTGGTTCGTTTAGAAGTATTTGGTCCGTGTTGCGTTCATAATTCATTCGAACCGCACCAGAGTTCGTTTGGAAGCGGACCGAGACCCATCTTTTTAGCGGTCTCAGTCCGCTTGTTTGGTGCGCACCATGGTTCGGATGGCAGCATTCACACTTACTCAAATGAACCACACTAAGGGTGCTTTCACACCTGGCTCATTGTTTCTTGTGCGTTTCCCCCCTTAGCTCGGTTCGTTTGGGCATATGTGAGCACGGCAATCGCGCTCGAATCCGTGCCAAAACAATCGGTCCGAGATCGCCTGAACGAGGTGGTCGATTGAAAACGAACTCTGGAGCGGTTCGGTTGTAGTGAGAAAGCAATCCGATCTAACGGACCAACGAACCAGGCTATATCACAATGTATAATGGGTAATTATGTAAGTTCCGTGAAAAGCATTAGCTTTGTTGTTTTGCAAATGAACCTGTGAATGTCTGTGGGTGAGCATGTCTTCGCCATTCAAAATCAAAGCGCACTTTTTCATCTTATTGCTCTTCTTCCTGTGCATTTTAAAAACGTTTTCCCTATGAATCCTGGACTCCTGCTCAAAGTGCTAAATTAATATAACGACATCTAAACCATGGAACTTTGACCAATGAGAGAACAGTTTACTCGAGCGTGACTTGTATTAACAAATTTGGTCCATTTAGAAATATTGCCGTGTGAAAGCGAACTGCACAAAGAATAAAAAGCAACATTGTAATAATTTGAATCCCTGTTTCGGAACAAAGCAATCGATCTACAGGTGTGAAAGCACCCTAACAGAGCAATCGCACCAGGGTTCGTTTTCATCGAACCAAACATGACAAGTGTGAACACACCTGGCCTGTTGTTTTTGAACCTGGCGCGTTTCCCCCCTTAGCTCGGTTCCTTTGGGCATATGTGAGCACGGCTATATCACAATTTATGATGGGTAATTACGTAAGTTCCGTGAAAAGCAATAGCTTTGTTGTTTTGCTAATACCTCAAAATTAACCTGTGAATGTCTGTGGGTGAGCACGTCTTTGCCATTCAAAAATCAAAGCGCACTTTTTTATTTTATAATGCCGTCTTATTGCTCTTCTTTGTAGTAGGTGCATTTTAAAAACGCTTTCCCGATGAATCCTGGACTCCTGCTCAAAATGATAAATTAATATAAGGACGGCTACAAAAAAATAAAAGCTGTTGTTGTTCCATCCTTACGGATGACAGCCGTGGTGGAATCCCGGAAAATAAACCGTGGAATTTTGACCAGTGAGAGAACAGTTTACTCGCGCGTGACTTGTATTAACAAATTTAGTCCATTTTAGAAACGTTGCCGTGTGAAAGTGAACCGCACCAAGAATAAAAAGCAACTTTGTAATAATTGTAATCCCTGTTTCGGAACAAAGCAATCGATCTACAGGTGTGAAAGCACCCTTAGTTAACAATAACAATACTGAATGTGAGACAGATAAGGGGAAAAAGAAATAGATGGTTGTAACCATAACACAATCACTGCAACAAAACAATAGATTTTAAAATCAAAACTGTAATAAAAATTTCACTCCACTCACTTTATATATACAGTGGGTACGGAAAGTATTCAGACCCCCTTAAATTTTTCGCTCTTTGTTATATTGCAGCCATTTGCTAAAATCATTTAAGTTCAATTTTTTTTCCTCACTTCCGTCGGGCCCCTCTGCCATAAAGCCCCGACTGGTGGAGGGCTGCAGTGGTGGTTGACTTTCTACAACTTTCTCCCATCTCCCGACTGCATCTCTGGAGCTCAGCCACAGTGATCTTTGGGTTCTTCTTTAGCTCTCTCACCAAGGCTCTTCTCCCCCGATAGCTCAGTTTGGCTGGACGGCCAGCTCTAGTAAGGGTTCTGGTCGTCCCAAACGTCTTCCGTTTAAGGAATGGAGGCCACTGTGCTCTTGGGAACCTTAAGTGCAGCAGAAATTTTTTTTTTGTAACCTTGGCAGGATCTGTGCCTTGCCACAATTCTGTTTTCTGAGCTCTTCAGGCAGTTCCTTTGACCTCATGATTCTCATTTGCTCTGGCATGCACTGTGAGCTGTAAGGTCTTATATAGACAGGTGTGTGGCTTTCCTAATCAAGTCCAATCAGTATAATCAAACACAGCTGGACTCAAATGAAGGTGTAGAACCATCTCAAGTATGATCAGAAGAAATGGACAGCACCTGAGTTAAATATATGAGTGTCACAGCAAAGGGTCTGAATACTTAGGACCATGTGATATTTCAGTTTTTCTTTTTTAATAAATCTGCAAAAATGTCAACAATTCTGTGTTTTTCTGTCAATATGGGGTGCTGTGTGTACATTAATGAGGAAAAAAAATTAACTTAAATGATTTTAGCAAATGGCTGCAATATAACAAAGAGTGAAAAATTTAAGGGGGTCTGAATACTTTCCGTACCCACTGTATATAAACTTGGTCCACCTATGATATGACTGTTCTTTTCAGCTGATGTTACTCCCTTCCCTTCAACCACCTGGCTCCATTCTGCTATTTCATGGAAACCAGTCAATTTCTGATTCATAATTTTAAGCACTGGCATAAATTTTTTTAATCACTAAACATCCTGTCTCACTCAGATTACATTAGTAAAATAGGATGACGCGTGTTTAATGTATGATTTTAAAACAAGCGCTAGACTGAAATGTTTTGGAAAATAAATAAATAAATAAAGTCTGACCGTTCTGTTGCAGCATATGACTCTGAAGGCTGTCAGTCTCTTCCATAGCATCACTCATCAGATCTTGAAGAATTTGCTGCTCCGCTTCAGGAAGCAAAGGTGCCTGAGACAAAAGAATTTGGACACATTTTGGTGAAGTTAGTTCTGAGCTTCATTTCTTTGCAGATGCCACTTGAATGAAATGCAATTAAATTTCATTGAATTCCATTGTAAGTCTCCAAACCATTTTTGAGGCATTATTTATCTCTCTAAATACTGGATAGATGTATCGGTAAAGATTATGCTAGAATCTAGCTAAATGTATCACCTGTAATCCAGTGAGCAGCTCCACAGATGCAGGTGGAGGGTGGACACAGATGATGGGGGTGTGTAGCCAAGCACCGGCTCATTTGACACATTTAAAAAGTTGACTATCTACAGGGGAAAGACAAACCGTAATGTTTAGCACAGGTTAATGAACTACAAGTCAGCTATGTTACTAACTGATTCAACAACTCTCATTTATCTTTACACCTTTTTGAGATGTCCACAATCCCACCTTAAAAGTACATTTTAAAAGGCGCTCTTCTTTCATGTGGTTTGCATGAGGTTTTTATATACATTTTATTACCTGGTCATACCAGCCCAGACTTGAAGGCACCACTCTGTGCTCCAGCTTAACTCCCCTCATGCCAATGGCTGTGAGAAACTCCTGAAAGTACAGGAAAATGTGCAGCAGATCCAGTTACAAGTTTAACAACACAAACAGGATTTTTAATGTTTCTTTGATCGACGTTTCTTTAAAAAAAACACAGTAACAATGGCAAATCTATATTATCAGCAGCCATGATTCCAGTCTTCAGTGTCACGTGATCCTTTAGAAATCATTTGTTGTTATTAGCATTTTGAAAACAATTGTGCTTATTAATATTTTTTCAGGATTCTTTGATGAATACAAAGTTCAAAAGAACAGCATCAATTGAATGCATCCTAACTTAAAAGTATGAATTTTATTATTATCTTTATTCTCTTTAATTTTAAACAGTATATTGTTTTGAACAGCATTTAACTATGGAAATTATTTGGTTTACCTTGACATTGCGCTCTGTGTTGTGGGAGGAAATTTTAACAGCGACAGACAGCATGCTATGGGGCTCCAAACTGAGCCCCTCAGAGGGAGATGTCCTTTCTGGGGCAGATTCAGATGCATACATCACAGGCTCCAGCCAATGAGGACGCGTCCTGCAGGGCAGATTAACATTCCACTGAGGGGCATCTCCATCCACCGTGCCTGAGGAATTAAATATACCATGATGTTATTAAGCAAACACCAAAAAAAAAAATAATTATATAAAAAAAAAAATATATATATATATATACATAGAAATCTATGGTCATACATCTATATATTTTAGTTTACACAACTAACAATAATATAACCAGGTATCTGCACAAAGAATCATATAAAATAATTGAAAAAATAAAAGGCTAAACAACAAAAACAAGTTTTTGTTTACCTTTGTGATAGATGCAGGCCTGAGACGTGTGGAAGCAGACATAATGCTGGTCTTTGTAGCCTTCATGCTGCGTCACACCAAACAGTGTCCCGTTTTTTACCTCCATCCAAAATTCACCATGTTTTTTTGGTAACACACTATTATCATCCTGCTGGAAGTATTGTCATTCATTACATAAGGCTATGTAAGTTGCTTACACTACTTGGCTAGATAATGACTCGATATTGAAGCACTATCTTTGCAATTCTGATGTAATACCTTTAGCTGTGTGTGCAGAGCCAGCAGGCCGTGGTTAACAGACAGGACGATGGAAAAGAGGCTCTGAGAGTTCTTAGGCTGCATCTTACTCCTCTTCTTTCTCCTGTTCCTATAGCCCAGTTCAGCAGGCGTGTAATACTGCAGGATTTCTTCCTCAGAACCACTCTCCTCCTCTTCACACACATAATGTGAAAAAATTCAGAACAAATGACTAACAGACACAGCATGTCAGATGAAATTAATACCTGAAAACATCTTTCCAAAACAAAGTCCTGGCATTATTATCAAAAAGTATGTTCATGCATGTTCATTCTAGGCTGATGTTAAATATTCAAGTGAGCAGAAGGGGAAATGTTCTTTACCCTCAGGGCCAGCAGATCTGAACTGACTGAAGCTGTCTTTACTGTATGTGTTAATGAGTTGACTGGCTACAGACAGACCCACCCCATACGGGATGTTCTCCACCGTCTCTACTGGAGATGGAGCAGTGGGCTCCCATAGCAGCAGGTCATTATTAATCCTGGAAGAAAAGAGCTCATTAGTGCAGAAATTCAAAAGAATTGTGTATGATGCATATGTAGATTTCTAAGCTGTGACGTTTTCTTCATGCATTAATTACCTGTTGTGTAGTTTTTCATAAAAGTCTTTATTGGGCAAAGAGAGCTGCACATTGGGGAAAAACAGCTCAAGGATATAGCGGGAGTTGCTAATGGTTTTCTCCTGGAATTCCGTCATTTCCACCACGTCTCCTGGGATGACCATCTGCATGAGGCGCAAAGTTATTACCCATAATTATTCACAACTGATCATTAATAAAATGATCACTCAATTTAAGAGACAATGAAAAACTCTATACCTCCTCATTCTCATACATGACACGCCGTGAGGAAAAAGGGGATGGCTCAGGTTTGCCAAAATCACACACATCCTTCAGGGAGTGGGCAGCTCCTTCTTCTTCCTCCTCTTCCTCTTGTGAGTGACCGTCCGCGTCTTCCTCCTCTTCCTCAGCTGTTACACGCTCTAAGATGGAGCGCACAGCCATGGGGTTCACCTTCAGAACCACTCTGAACGGGAGCAGAACATTTTAGTTTCTGTATCTTGAAGAATTTTATCAGTAAAGATCCATAGAATGATCATGAACAAAACAGGATACAGAGAGCACAGCATACCTGGGCCAGTCGAATTTGCCACAGTCAGAAGATGTCATGTCCTCCTCCATGGTGTTAGCGACTCGTAAGAACCTGGCTGCGGGATGATCTTTGTCTTCTTGGAAAGATCCTAGTGTAACAGAAAAGACATGATTAACGGTGTGTTAAAATACAAATGCATAAAAGCCAAACGCTTTGCTTAGAAATAGAATTTAAAAATTGGTTAAGTATTTCGTATCTGCTCTATATAATAACGTAATTGTTATATTTGTATATTATCACTTATTAATGTTTTTAAAAAAAATTATATTTGAATTGCTATTGTTATCCTGTCTTGCTTTTTTTGCATACTGAATTAGCTTTTTCTTTTTGGTATGAATAATCCATTGGTGCCATTATACTGTAAAGATAGTCATGCTTGTGTCGATTCTTCTGCACAGACCACAAAAAACAAGAAAACTCTCAGAAACCTTCAGGAATTCAATCTAATTTGCATTAAATATGCATTACTCTTTTTAGAAAAGTAGTAGTAAAACAAAGTGCATAAAAGTTTCTCTGTATCCTGTATATGGGGAACGATTGCAGAGGAACATTCAAAACTCAAACTCAATTTAAAAGTCAGTAACCGCCAGTTTCCTTGTCTCTTAAACTGAAAATGCAAAGATGCAAGATTTTTATGCCTTGATCAGGATGACTCTGTCTGTAAATGAGTACCATTTAGCTCCTTGAAAGTGAGCTCCATCTTAGTCTGCTCTGATGAGCTTCCTCCAGTGAACTCTGTCTTGAGCTCCAGATCTTCCAGCTCCAGCTGCAGCAGCTCTTTCTGCAGGGACTTCTTAAACCAGGGGCCCCTCTCCTGATCCGAGCGCAGGTCTGGGATTGGAAACCGCACCACTAGCACCAGTAGAGGTGCATTTATTGACACAGACACGTGGCAGTGTGCTGGGGTACGACAATCATCCAGGAAGACCTCTGCGAAGGCCTTGTGCTTGTGAGGAAAACACACAACCACAATAAGATGCAAAGTGACATAAAAATAAATGAAAATAAATTAAGTACAGAGAGATAGTCGTTAATGTTTCTCACCAGACTGACATGTTTATTGTAGGAGGTGTACATGTGGGATGCCATCATCTCTGTGGTAACCAGTTTCTGAGGCTGAAGTAAGGAGTTGAGCCTGTCCACAATGCTGACATCACACTCTGAGCGCACTTTACCCAGCTCCACTTGCAATTCTGCCCTACGAGGTATAGTACTCAGACGTACCTGCCCGCCCTGATGAAAAAGAAAGTGTTGGATCATGCTTACTGTCTGCAAGTAGCTAAATTTGTGATTCATTTGAAGTATAAATAAAGGCTATAAAAATCAAATGATTAATGTTACTAGTAAAACATCATATAGATGGTCCAGACAAGGACATATTCATTAGGTAATTTACTTTATTATGAGGAAGTACTCTCATCAGCACCATGCAAGGTGTTGAAATACTTCAGGAAGTTACCTGCGGGCCTCTGCGTTCTGTTAGTTTGTAGAGTAAATGTAGGCATATAGGAGGAGGAGAATCACTACTGGCTGAGACATCGAATGTAAGAAGCTAATGTTTGACACAAGAAACAAATATCATCATTATTATGTAAGATAACTATTCTGTGCACATATAATTTTTGTCAACAGACAAAAAAAAAAAACACCTCGGTGTACTGGATTCCACTCTGTGTAGTGTGGCTGTCAGTAGAGTACAGGCATTCCAAAAGCTCCACCTGGCTCAGAGAGAGATCCGTGTTTAATGTACGTACACTGGAGCCTTGACAGTGCTCGTATGCCACCTTTAATCCCTGACCAATGAACCTGAAGATAAAGAAAAATGCATTTTACATTACCTTAAAATAAAAAAAAAAAACACCTCGGTGTACTGGATTCCACTCTGTGTAGTGTGGCTGTCAGTAGAGTACAGGCATTCCAAAAGCTCCACCTGGCTCAGAGAGAGATCCGTGTTTAATGTACGTACACTGGAGCCTTGACAGTGCTCGTATGCCACCTTTAATCCCTGACCAATGAACCTGAAGATAAAGAAAAATGCATTTTACATTACCTTAAAATAAAAAAAAAATACACTCAAAGCATAGGTTAAAGGGTTACTTCACCCAAAAATGAAAATTAGGCTGTTTTACACTCACCCCAGAGGCATCCTAGGTTTATATGACTTTCTTCTTTCAGATGAATCCAGTTGGCATGCACTGGGGAGTCTCGTGAAAACCAACGTTTGTTTACAGGATCAAAGGAAGCAAAGTTTCCTTACTTTAGCAAAGGAAAACCAGTCTCCTCTTGGCTTATATCGAAATCCTCTGACATTCTTTTACAAATCCTTGTTTTGTACTTCCAATTCATGACCGATGTTTTGTTTTGATCTCTCCTCTGCGCTTCCGCGTTCGTCACTTCTGAGCGGCGCATGCGTGGCGCTGACCTCATACGTCATCAGCCCGGAACTGCTTCCGTGTACAACTGTTGGCGCAAGCTAGATTAAAGTGATTATTACGTTTTGAATATGGATATTTTTCTTACAAAAACGCATCGATTTGCTACAGGAGGCCTTTGTTCGTCCCCCAGAGCCATGTGAGACTTTTTTTTATGGATGGGCTCTTTTTATTTACCTTCTTTGGGACTGAAGCACTGCAACACCCGCTGACTGCAATGATAGAGCTTGGAATAGCCAGGACAATTTTTAATATAACTCCAACTGGATTCATCTGAAAGAAGAAAGTCATATACACCTAGGATGCCTCGGGGGTGAGTAAAACACAGCCTAATTTTCATTTTTGGGTGAACTAACCCTTTAAGTATGGGGTTCCACAAGGCTCTGTCTTAGGTCCTTTTTGTTCTCTTTGTCCATGCTCACCTTAGGATATGTGACTTTATCTTTTGCTTTCATTGTTATTCTGCTAAGCCACAGGTTTAAATTTCCTATAGACTGGTTAAAAGATTCAGTTTTCCCGGTCAATGGAGCAAAGTTATTGCTGTCCCACCTCTCTCATCTCTGACATCCCTGACATCCAATGTCAGCCATTCAAATAAAGGATGTTTCCCTGACCAATGTCCTGAAATTGTCTCAGAATGCACTCCAGACTTAAAATGTAATCATTGATATTTGAAAGAAGGCTGATAACAAAATATTAAACCACAATTTCTATAATATTCTGTATTTAATTTTAAGTGAAAGCTTACCTGAGATGATCATGTGGACAGGCTTCATCAAAGACAGTTCGTGATTGCAGGAAACTCCCAGCAGGGAGTTGATTTACAGACAGAATACGGAAAAACTCTGAAGCCATTGGTGCAAGATGGCTGCGGGAGGAGTCTGGAGGTGGAAGGGGATCAATATGGAGGACAGACAGGCAGAGACTGCCCACTGTGAGCCTGAGAACCAGCTCAGGCCTGGACTCATCACAGTGGCCTTTAGATGGATGAGCTAGAGATCACACATAGGGTAGAGTTCTTATTGATTAAATATAGTCATAAGGGTCAACAATTACCTTAAATCATAAAGCTGATAACGGGACATACATGTCTGCCGGAGCAACTTATGGGTAAGCTGACAATCTCTGGAAAGATGTGGCATCTCATTTGTCTGCTTCTCCTTCTGTCTAGGAACATCCATGAACTCGTCCCATACCGTCTAAGGAATGTGTCAAAAAAAATGTTGCACTTGTAATATCATAATGAGCCAATGAATGGTGACATAATCAATCATTAAACACTAATTATGAAACACGGAGTTCAATGTTAAAGTGAGAAGTGGTGACCTACGGCTACATTTCCAGATGGCGACTCCCCCAGGGAGGTGGAGTAGTTGCTATTTACAGACAAATCTAGATCCACAGTGGGTGGATCCCCAAGAGGAGGCAAAGATGACAGGCTGTGTGACATGTCCATATCAGCCATAGAGAAAAAGACGTCCTCTGTCCAAACAAGAAACAGATTAAATATGTATTTAGAGGTGCAAAAACAGAATGTAGAATTAAAAGATTTGCTGTGCTAAACTAACCTCTACTGTACACCGTTCTGGTGGTCTGGCTTTCAAACAGGTCCTGGTCAGTGGCACCTGTAATGGTGTCTTTCTTCAGGCAGCGGTTGAGCTCCATGTGGAGGCGATACTCATCCTCCTGCTGCATGGGCCGACTCTTCCTATCCTTTCCTATAGCAGACCACTCCTGTACAGCTGTATATAAGCAGTTTTTGTAAGAAAAATATCCATATTCAAAACGTAATAATCACTTTAATCTAGCTTGCGCCAACAGTTGTACACGGAAGCAGTTCCGGGCTGATGACGTATGAGGTCAGCGCTGCGCATGCACTGGGGAGTCTCGTGAAAACCAACGTTTGTTTACAGGATCAAAGGAAGCAAAGTTTCCTTACTTTAGCAAAGGAAAACCAGTCTCCTCTTGGCTTATATCGAAATCCTCTGACATTCTTTTACAAATCCTTGTTTTGTACTTCCAATTCATGACCGATGTTTTGTTTTGATCTCTCCTCTGCGCTTCCGCGTTCGTCACTTCTGAGCGGCGCATGCGTGGCGCTGACCTCATACGTCATCAGCCCGGAACTGCTTCCGTGTACAACTGTTGGCGCAAGCTAGATTAAAGTGATTATTACGTTTTGAATATGGATATTTTTCTTACAAAAACGCATCGATTTGCTACAGGAGGCCTTTGTTCGTCCCCCAGAGCCATGTGAGACTTTTTTTTATGGATGGGCTCTTTTTATTTACCTTCTTTGGGACTGAAGCACTGCAACACCCGCTGACTGCAATGATAGAGCTTGGAATAGCCAGGACAATTTTTAATATAACTCCAACTGGATTCATCTGAAAGAAGAAAGTCATATACACCTAGGATGCCTCAGGGGTGAGTAAAACACCTAATTTTCATTTTTGGGTGAACTAACCCTTTAAGTATGGGGTTCCACAAGGCTCTGTCTTAGGTCCTTTTTGTTCTCTTTGTCCATGCTCACCTTAGGATATGTGACTTTATCTTTTGCTTTCATTGTTATTCTGCTAAGCCACAGGTTTAAATTTCCTATAGACTGGTTAAAAGATTCAGTTTTCCCGGTCAATGGAGCAAAGTTATTGCTGTCCCACCTCTCTCATCTCTGACATCCCTGACATCCAATGTCAGCCATTCAAATAAAGGATGTTTCCCTGACCAATGTCCTGAAATTGTCTCAGAATGCACTCCAGACTTAAAATGTAATCATTGATATTTGAAAGAAGGCTGATAACAAAATATTAAACCACAAATTCTATTTCTAAAGCTTACCTGAGATGATCATGTGGACAGGCTTCATCAAAGACAGTTCGTGATTGCAGGAAACTCCCAGCAGGGAGTTGATTTACAGACAGAATACGGAAAAACTCTGAAGCCATTGGTGCAAGATGGCTGCGGGAGGAGTCTGGAGGTGGAAGGGGATCAATATGGAGGACAGACAGGCAGAGACTGCCCACTGTGAGCCTGAGAACCAGCTCAGGCCTGGACTCATCACAGTGGCCTTTAGATGGATGAGCTAGAGATCACACATAGGGTAGAGTTCTTATTGATTAAATATAGTCATAAGGGTCAACAATTACCTTAAATCATAAAGCTGATAACGGGACATACATGTCTGCCGGAGCAACTTATGGGTAAGCTGACAATCTCTGGAAAGATGTGGCATCTCATTTGTCTGCTTCTCCTTCTGTCTAGGAACATCCATGAACTCGTCCCATACCGTCTAAGGAATGTGTCAAAAAAAATGTTGCACTTGTAATATCATAATGAGCCAATGAATGGTGACATAATCAATCATTAAACACTAATTATGAAACACGGAGTTCAATGTTAAAGTGAGAAGTGGTGACCTACGGCTACATTTCCAGATGGCGACTCCCCCAGGGAGGTGGAGTAGTTGCTATTTACAGACAAATCTAGATCCACAGTGGGTGGATCCCCAAGAGGAGGCAAAGATGACAGGCTGTGTGACATGTCCATATCAGCCATAGAGAAAAAGACGTCCTCTGTCCAAACAAGAAACAGATTAAATATGTATTTAGAGATGCAAAAACAGAATGTAGAATTAAAAGATTTGCTGTGCTAAACTAACCTCTACTGTACACCGTTCTGGTGGTCTGGCTTTCAAACAGGTCCTGGTCAGTGGCACCTGTAATGGTGTCTTTCTTCAGGCAGCGGTTGAGCTCCATGTGGAGGCGATACTCATCCTCCTGCTGCATGGGCCGACTCTTCCTATCCTTTCCTATAGCAGACCACTCCTGTACAGCTGTATATAAGCAATATAAAAGAGGCAGTCGTCAGATTCATTGGAAACAATTTATCGCCGATTTTATTTAATGAGGAAACCATATGGGAAAATCATATATGAATAGAACAAAATGTCACCTGAGCTAGAGAAAACCCCAAACATGTCCAGTAGGAGGTGGACTTGTTGTGGTGAAAGCAGCATGATTAGAGAATCAAACTGCCCATCAATATCCAACTGTGAAAAGACCAGTCATTAAAATGTATCATTAAAAAAATATAAATCATGCCTTTTGTTTTGACTAATCCATTCAGAAATACAGTTGTTCCAAAATGTAATTGGACAATTAAAAGACAAATTCAGATTTTCAAACAGCTTTGCATTGTTACAATGTAGATAATATATGTAAACAAATAATGTGTACTCTTTGTCTTTGTTACCTGCACCCAGATATCCCAGTTTATTTGTCAGAAAAAAATCAGCCAGATTAAGCAAAATGCATAATTTTGGGTTATCCGGTGTAATTTTGTTAAATTACAGATTGAACTTCCGCCAAAATCAAAAGTGCATTATGAGTGCTGAAGATTTTGGAAAAAGGGAAGGCTACAGCCCTTTTTTTGGTTTCTCTAGTTGTGTAGCACCAATTTCATTTTTTTCAGTTTCTACTGCATAGACAGCCAAGTTTTATTAAAAGCCCATCTTGTTAGTGGTCCCCCTTTAAGACACAGCTAAAAATGTATTAATGTCAAAGCATTAGATAATAAATTATCACACAAAGCGAAATTCAATTTAAAGAAATACGCAAAAAGTTTGCATATAATTCATAAAACAATAGAAATATTGTTAAAAATGAAGACAAAAAGCATTTAAATACTTTCTGGTTGTCAAACATAGTGGAACACATTCACTCAAGGAATTATCATTTCAAAAAAGGAAGCTAGGCTAACCTGTGCAATACTTTTATAGAAAGAAAGAATTAAAATAACTGTATATTTGTAACTGTGTGGTATATGTACCCACCTTAGCTCCGGGCATGGCTTCATTTTGCTTCAGAACCATGGACAGCTCCAGTTTACCACAAAGGCAGCCCATCTGCACTGGCTCAAATGGTGTACTAGAAGACACAGGTTCTGGGAACTGAGGGTGAGGCTCACAGATGATTTTTGGGTTCCAACTCGGCGAAAGCTTGGGTTCAGTTTCCTTTAATGTATAAAGAACATATGTCTTCGCAGGCATTGGAATTGTACTGCTAAACAGCAACAAAAAATGTTTTTGAACTTGAAGTTATTGTACTGCTACAGGGTCAAGTTAGGCTGAGGTTGCACAACTATACTTGTGCAAGATGATTTTTGATTGCAGCAGAATAGATACTCACTGTTTGAGTGGGGGACGATTTGAGGCCGGCACGTGCTGATTCTGAAAACTCATCCCAGAACACATAGGCACCTTCCAGAGTGACGTTTTTATGTGCAAATGTAGTAGGCTGATGGATATTGACACTGGAGCCCTCCTCCACACTCTCATCACAGTAAACCATCCTAAATATCACAAAACGTACAGACAGTGTGGTGATGATTCAAAAGAAAACATATCATGTTGTAGTGTCGAAAACATTTAGTTAGATCTCCAGAACTTACTTATTGATTCGGAGTTCGAGGGCAATGCCAGTTTTAGAATTTTCAGGAACGTGTTCCATCCGCAGGACAGTATCCACAAAAGTGACCTTGACTCTCCTCAACACTAACAAAGAGAACAGGGAAAGGATCAGTCATTGACAGGGAATCACTGAAAGACGTAATATGATTCAGCAGCTCTAGGCAACCAATCAATCAGTCAATAAATAAATAAGTCTTACATTTAAATGATTTTATGGTCTACAGGAAGAGGCATACCTGTCTCAATAGTCTCTGCAAACTTTTCCAGACCCTCCAGAGGTTGCAAGCTCTCTCCCTGATCATCAGTGAGTCTTTGGCTTAGACACTCTTTGGCCAGCTGCATACTGCTGGTCATGAAGCTGGACCAGCACATGGGCTCCATGCCTGATGCTTAAAAAAAGATTTACAATGGGCATAAACAACATTAAAGTTGCCATAAAATGCAAATTCGCCCTATGTATTTTCTAAACGAATCTTAATGATATTATAGTTAACAATTAATTTGTACATCTTTCTTTTTTATATTTGACTTTCCCGTTGTTCCTTGGCATAAGGTGAACTAGCATGCTGGCTAAACCCAATCCTTCATACCTTCATTCAAGTTTATCGGTTTAATTGAAGCATCGCTCAGTAATAACAGCTATATTAAACTGAGGATGGTAGTCCTCGCGCGGATTATGGGTGACTCGCGTGAAAGCAGCATCTCTGTTTGTCTGCTTACACGGCTAAATGATGTTTACAAACACGCTCGTGACTGCGCGCGGTGTGTTCGTGAGCATCCGCTCTGCGCAGCTGCTACGCAGCACATCCGCGCAGCTAGTGGAAGAGTTTTTATATATATAAGAACAGTAAAATCGCTTTATTTATGGTAAGAAGGCTTAAATTACATGGTTTAGCTGATGTTCTTAAGTCAAGGTTTATAAATCTTACATTGCTTTAAATCTGTGACCTAATCCGTTACCCGGTATTTGCATACAAGAAACCGATACTCAGTGTTGGGGAAAGTTACTTTTAAAAGTAATGCATTACAATATTGCGTTACTCCATAAAAAAGTAACTATTTACGTTACTTAGTTACTTTTTATGGAAAGTCATGCGTTACGTTACTTTTGCGTTACTTTTTAAATCTGGACAGGGCTTGCTTGTTTGTTTTTAAAATAAAAAAGTTATATTTTTGGCGAATATAAAAGCCTTTTCACACCAAAAGTGAAATGAATAAGCCTCAGGCTGAAGGGAAAGTACATTTACGTCCGTACAGTAGAATGCAGAAGAAGAAATCTCAACACACTTCAGCAATAAAAAAAAGACACACAAATGTTTGTCGAGAGTAATTTTTGCTTATTAGTACGCTTGAACTGGATCATCGAAGGCCAGAAGCAAAGACATTGCTTTATAGAATGGGAATAAATACATAAAGCATATTTGTGTTGTTTAACATTTAATTATTGCAGGTTTGCGTCATATTCTGAGTTGCATTATTTTTTTTCATTTTGAGGAATACTGAATCTGTGACTTGAATTCATGCATATTCATATTTATTTTAGAACTACAGTAACATCTGATTTCTCTCAGCATGGGGACAGGAGAGCTGACAATCAATACATTGGAGGGAAAAAAGTAACTTGCGTTGCTTATTTGAAAAAGTAACTCCGATATTCTCTTGTAAATTAAAAAGTAATGCGTTACTTTACTAGTTACTTGAAAAAAGTAATCTGATTACGTAACTCGCGTTACTTGTAATGCGTTACCCCCAACACTGCTGATAACACAGCACAATACAATGTTATTCTAAAAGGGACTGAACTGCCAAAATTCTGCTATTTCTGCACTACTCACAATTTTTTGCCATTTTTTTTTTGTTGGCAAGTTTTTTAAAGAACGGGAATTCATGTTTATGGCATCAAATCCCATTATTGATTTTCAGTAGTAACACTTGTGTTGTCACTATATTGGAAAATACTTAATGATATGATATTAATGAAATATAGTCAAATGTAAGAAAATAACACGACGTTATAAAATGTAAACAAGTTCTTTGGACTATAACTATGCACTGAACTAAATCTGTTTTTTGTGAGTGGGATGAATTAATGCACATTCACATTTAGTCTAGAACTACATCATGTTCACACAGCGCACACAACTCCTCTGTGCTCCCGATTTCTCCCAACATGGGGACAGGAGAGCTGTCAGTCAATAAATGGGAAACAAAGTAACTGGCGTTACTTTACTAGTTACTTGAAAAAAGTAATCTGATTACGTAACTCGCGTTACTTGTAACGCGTTACGCCCAACACTGTGTATTTATCATATACAACTAACAGCTAAATAACACATTTAGGTATTATTATGTTTTGAAAAATATGTTTCCTAAAAAAAATAGATAATATAATGTTTATCTTAACGGTTACTTTTTTTACTTTATTAGGATTAGCAACAAGTATACAAAAATATACAACCCTAGTAACAACAAAATCACAAAACAAAACAAAATAAAGAACAAAAAAAACAACAACAAACATACAGGGCCAGGGGTAATATAAATTACATTATATAAAGTAAAGGTGCCTCAAAAGGCACTTTTTAACAACCAGGTAAAAGGTCACAGAGCATTCAGTCAGCTGTACATTATAGGAAAGAACCGATATTATACGATGCATCTTAAGGGTTACGCAGAAGCTGCACTGCGCAAAGGCTGCGCATACTTGACGCGCGTGAGTCCTAGCCGGCATGAGCCGGAAATGTTCTGAAGAGCTACCCCCGGAGGAGGTTAGTAACTCCTAAAATGATAATAATAAATAAATATTAACCGCTCCAAACTTTAGCATATAACTTTGTTAGTTATGTGGTCATACTGTTATTCTGTTAATGTAATTCTGGATTGCGTTATATGGAACTTTTACGCTACAAGAGCCTCGATTGTAGCATTAGCTAACATTTTAGACTGCCTTTATGCAAAGTACATCATAAATGACACATTCAAATGTGTGTAAACATGTGTGTTTTTCTCCCTAAAATGTTATACTTACTAAAAAATAATAATAATAATAAAGTAAAGGTACTTCGGAGTTGTCAAGTTGAGGAATGTGTCAGAGGCGTTAGCATGACTTTACTGTGCTCGCGCCCCCTCATGACCAGACGGCGTCAGGTGTTGATGAACATGCGGTGAGTTCGTCTGAGCAGCTTTAGTCTGAGGGCTCGCTGTTGTTTTCAGGGGATGGAGGTGGACTGTACGCCAGAGGACCTGTCGAGGTGTTCGTATGAGGAGCGCTGTGTGCAGCTGGGGGAGGTGAAGGACATGCGGCTGGAGGCTGAGGCGGTGGTCAGTGATGTGCTCTTCGCGGTCACAGACATGCAGGTCTCTCGCAGTCTCACCAGCGGACTCGATGTGGCCTACATAAACGTGGAGAGCAGAGAGGGAAGGCGATACTGCTTAGAGCTCACTGAGGCAGGGTTACGGGTGAGTGAGAGATGTAAAACATGTAAAGAAGGTTTTCATTGTAATACTGACAATTTGATGTTTTCCTGAGGGTGAGGATGGGGTCCACTTTGGCTCTACACATCTGCTTCAACCGTCTGGTGGTCCTTGGTCTTTTTAGAGTGAAAATTTGAATTTTTCAAATTGATTACTTCATAAGAATAGTAAGGAACTTGATGACTTTTGTGTGCGCGTTTTTGTGGTTTATGAGGACACAGATTTGTATAATGACATGGGTATTACAACGAGAAGGTGATTTATGAGGACGTTTTGAGTGTCCCCATATTTCAAATGGCTTATAAATCATTCAGAATGAGTTTTTTGAAAATCTAAAAATGCAGAAAAATTCCTGTGAGAGGTAGGTGTTGGTGTAGGGCGATAGAAAATATGGTTTGTACAGTATAAAAACCATTACGCCTATGGAATGTCCCCACAGTTCACAAAAACAAACCTGTGTGTGTGTGTACTGGTTTATATATCCTGGTGGGGACTTAAACCTGACTACACACAGACTCATGGGGACTCGTGTCACGGTGGGGAACTAAATTGAGGTTCCCATGGGTACAAAAGCTTATAAATCATACAGAATGAGTTTTTTTGAGAAAGTAAAAATGCAGAAAGTTTCCTGTGAGGGGTAGGTTTAGGGGTAGGGTTGGTGTAGGGCAATAGCACATACAGTTTGTACAGTATAAAAACCATTACGCCTATGGAGAGTCCCCATAAGGATAGCTGACCAGACATGTGTGTGTGTATGGAAATCATTAGAAAATTTTAAATGGTCTTTAAAAAATTGTTACAGTTCATGGTCATAATTGACCACCATAGGTAATGAATGGGAAATATAGAGTATCTGAAAATATAGAGCTATATTTTGGAGTGCAATCTACAA